TGACCACGCTACACCAAAGGCACTTACTCACTCAGCAGAAAGTCTTTAGGGATGGGCAGCAGCATCACGAGAAACAAGTATGCTGACTAGAAATCGAGGTCGTCATCATCATCCAGATCCGACCCATCGAGCTCCAACAACTGGGCCAACTCGTCGGCGTCGTTACTTGCGTTGTTGTTGCTCTTCAGCTGAAGTAGAGAAATAGAGAGTAATCAGAAGGTCTCCGGTTCTACCCCGGCAACTTACCATAGAAGTATCAGCATATTGCATAGCTTTGACCGTCTCCGTATGTAGTTGCAAACAGAAGGCTATACGCTTGTGTAAGTGTCGTTGCGGGCTCGAACCAGAGTACCCGTCAGTGCTCCACGACGACTGCATGAAGCTGAGCAACATTAAGAATAGATAACCCCTAGGCATCACAGTGGACCTACTCCCCATCATCATCAATAGTGGCGTCAATAACACCATCAGCAATGGCCTTACTAACAACTCCAGCGGCCTCTTCTCGACTATTCAAGCCAAGCTTCTGCATCACCTCCTCCTAATACCACCACCACCATCAGCAGCAGTGATAACCCCCCTTCAGACTCACCATAGGGACCTTGCTATAGCTAAGGTTGATGCCACGAAGGCCAGCCTTTATAACATTGTGGTGGAGTCGGCCAATCAAGCTGAGTGTGCCATCCTTACGCAGCTCGCTACAGTGAGCTTCCACGATGCTTTCAAACTCGTTGACCGATCCCCTACAGAGAATACATCATCCAAGACCTCTCACCATAGGCTACTACTAATACTACTACTACTACTACTACTACTACTACTACTACTACTACTACTACTACTACTTCCTAACGGCACCAGCTATCTGGTAATACACCTTGAGGGGCTTCTGGAGGTCCGATTGAGCGAAGACCGACCTGTCCGGTATCTCCCCCATGAGGAGCTCGACAATGATAGCAAACTTATAAGCCTAACAACAGGACAACTGCGGATCATCACCATCAACAATAGCCGCAAAAATAGGAACCCCTGTCATTACAGATATCCTGAAGCCTCGGCCGACCTCCCCTTGTGGACTCTTTCTGATAGCCTGTGTCAGCCTACCATAGGCATCGGAATACTCCAGTTGTACAGCCTTCAGACGCCCTGACCAAGTGAACCACCATCATGAACCAGCCCCGGTGCCCGAACCCACCTATGTAGTAGAGGTACTTAGCGAACTCAGCATTAGTCCTAGTATCAGGGAACTGAGTCTTGGAATACAACTTGTTAGCCAGGTCATATTCACTGTAATGAAGGTAATTCCTAAGACAAGCAAAATACTAAGAAGCACGTAAAACCCAGTGCGCTGACCTCAGTAGCAGGTTGAGAAGAGTAGCCTGCGATATCTTGTCCTGCTTCAGCACGGCTGTCCTATACGATCGGTACAACAACCTGGCAATCACAACTCATCAGAGATCGTCGCACTAGGTTTCTCTACTCTCATTGGTATTAAAAGCGATTGTTTGCTGTGCAGTTATATAATAAGGCACGATATGGAGTATAGCAACAGTACTCCTCCCCCATCCCTCTTACGGTCTGATGCTCTGCAACGTGCCTTCCTTCTCATGCAGTAGGGAATAGTAAAACAAGGACTTGGCACTGAAGGCACTCCATCAACGAACCATCAAGGCAATCCCCTCACTTGATAGCATCGAGACTCCTCTGATTGAGTTTCTGTAGTCTGTCCACCAACTCCAGCGCCACTGCTATCAATTTGGAGTTGGTCATACCCAGGACCCGTTCATTATCGATCAGCCATATAAGGATGATAAGCCTGATGTAGGCCTGAACAAAAAGGGCTACCATCAAGTACAACGGCGATGCTCCTTCACTCACCCCACCACCGGGGAGCTCAGCTTCGGTCAGGTTATTAGGCACACTGCTCGGTAGGGCCTCGGAAAGCGCCACCTGAACAACATCAGAGATCAAACTTCCACGCAAGTTCGAACCCCACGGCCAACATCCTATCTGGAAAAAGACAACCCCAGTATAGGCCCCACCTGAATCTGAGGAGCCTCGCCATCCTGCTTATCCTCAACATCAACCATCTCCACCTCATCATGGGCCCTCTTGGCCTCAGTCTCCAGTACTTTCCTCCAGGCATCTTCTGCCTCCGAAGCCGATGGGAGCAGTAGCATCCGAGTGAGGTACTCCAAAGACACTGCGTCAACACGCCTGATACCATCAACAATCCATCCAGATAAATGGCGAAATGGCGTGAACTTACCTCCTGGCCTGTGGAAGGCTTCTTACGACCCTATTGACTCCCCTGTAGTCCTTAGATGCCACCGACTGCGCAATGAGACGAAGGGAAGAGAGCTCAGCTTCAACCTGAGTATGATCATCAATGCTATACGCATTTCCACCCTATACTACAGCCACAACACTCGGATGCTTGGCTGGTTCCGCTGCCCCCTCCTCAGGACCTGCTGGAGCCTTCTTCTTCGACACGGTATCGGCAGTCATTTAATAATAACAAAAGACAGCTACAGAGCCCAGCACTATGACGAGGTAACGGGACCCTTGCCTCAAGACTTGAGGTGGACTCGCCATGTTGATAGGCGGCGAACCGCAGTACTACTCGAACAAGCAAGTAAAGCAAGGCCCTCATGCTAAACGAAGTATAACATGCTTCCCGATACCAAGATCGATATCATCCCCTTGAGGGAAGACCCCACAAGAATCGGCAAAGAGCATGGCCAACGAACACTTTTATACCCGCAGTATACCCTCTAGTACATACAGTAGAGAAAGTGACCACGAGGTTAACCATACTACCGCCAATGAGCCGCTTGATAGAAACTTCCAAGACCGACAGCCCGAGCAGCTGATGCTATCAGCAGCCGTGAGAGTTAATACACGTCAGCGGTGGCTCCCATCACCACATCACAGCCGACTGCCACAACCTACTCCGAGAATGCCGTCTGAGATGGCAATGGTCATCACGACTATCACTGCGGAAACCTATACCGTCCAGCAGACTATCGGTTCCTCGGCGGGTCTGAATGCAAATCTCGTGATGGAAACAAGCAGACCCCCCTCCGAGTGGTCACTAAACTAACCCGGAAATTATGAATCTATTCTTAAGTGGATTTGTTTTCGTAAAAAGATGCTCACAAGATGCAACTCCCTCTGCAGAGCTCTCTTGCATGCTTATTGTATTTAGAACGTACATGGCAAAATGGATTACGGAAATTACTGGAAAAATGCCGATGCCGAGGATCGAACCGAAGCTCTCCCACAGCGCAAGGAAACAAAATTAATCATGTTGACGAAAGTGCTTGATGTGTTGACAACACTATTTCACCACACGGAATAAACTACGTCGTATTATATTTTGTATCTTTTTCCTAACGGAACCGATGAAATTCACAATGAAACTTTCATCGTGACACCGGAAAACTGCATTGGATGGTGACACTGAGGTCGGAGGTAAGAGTCTGTACTACTGGCTATAGTGTACGAGTAATACGATGAACCCGTGATCATGGAGTTCGTTCTCCGCTGATATACAGGACTCGGATTATGCGGGACAGCTCTGTTCGATCCGGTCGATGATTCCAATTCAGGTCGTCAGCGTTGCTTGATCTCTATTCGCTATGGCTATCTCATAGATTACACATAGATAGTGGACGAAGGATGCCTGGATCGGAGACTGAGTGGAGAAGATGTTCATTGTGAATATCCCCCCTATTGTGGAAGAGATATCCATTCCCTCTATTGCGAGGTAGATAGAGACTCTACAAGGCCAGTGTTAGCAGCCTTCACACCCCAAGGAGTATGGCAGGATTCAGTCCGGCTCCACGAAGAAACTAGAACTCCTGAACTTGAGGCTTTGCATTGTAACTCCGGCTAATCTACAGGCGATGCCATCCAGGCGTGTTGCATAACATTTTCCCTGATTGTGCCGACCTGCGTGTAACACGCGACGCGGAGAGCGGTGGTTGTGGCGAAGGAGGAACGCTATCGATGCTGGAGTTTTCTCTTCAACTGTGGTTTTCCAATTCGACCGCATACTTCACAACCTCGACGGCTTATCTAATCGATTCAGTGTCTGGAAGATGTAGGAAATCCCAAGGAGGAAGGCACCCGATCTAAAACGAGAGAGTCGCTGCTCCTCAGTGCGCCCGGTGAAGTCAACACACCATGTCAAGAGACACGACAACCTCGTATAGGACAGTAGTAGTAATGTTTCTCTACCCTGCTATCCTCAATGAACATGATAGCGAAAAAGCGAGCTCTTCACATTATGATAAGCACTGACAATCTCCAAAAAGATGTTCTCGTCTAGTCCTCTTCTTGGTCCACCAGGATTGGCCTTATCGGAATCAATCGATGGAGATATTGACAAAACAGCGCGTTTGAGGATACTCCACACGTAAACTGGATACTTCTTCTCCCAGTATGCCCTGTTAGCAGTAAGAAAGACCATCGTGTGTTCAACGATCAAACGAGAGATACCCGTGTCTTTACGAGCTGTTCCATGGGTTAACCTAAGGCCTCAGTGAATGAACTTAAGATATGAGCGATTGCAGCCACCTGTGGATTTGCATCGCCGCGTTCTTGGCGAGTAACCAATTGCCTTCGCTCATGCGTGTAGGTTTCCACCATTCCTTCTTTCCATCACAGCTCGTGGATAGAATACGCTCTTCAGCATAGGCCTCCATCTTGGCTAAGTCACGGCTGTCCTGCACGACTCCACACGACATACACGCGGTATAATCACTCGGGCCTTCATAACAAAGAAATAAGGACAGATCAGAAATGCGGACTTACTGTCGGAACGACCATAGACCATCCCGCCGCAGACATAACACGTGAAGGCGCGTGCACGATCGACAGGATCGCTACAGACTGGGCAGTAACATTGGAAAGAGAACCTGCGAGAAATGTCGGGGGATCTCCAATCACTAGGCCGCATCGAATAACCGAGACTGGCAGACCGGCACATGATAGCATCGACGCTATCCAGAGAGAGTAGGGTCACTTGGTAGAAAGCAACTGCCTTCGTATGGTGGTAGGTGCAAAGGCCGCTATGTACGATACCGAAATGGGCTCGCCGGCTTTAATCCAGGTCTGAGAAGATGTTGTTCATCGTGTTATTCAAGTTGAACATACTTGGGTAACAACACACGCCTCTCTCTCGTGTACGAAGACGAAAGCATTGGGCTTACAGGAGTGCTCCAGTAGTGATGCTCCAAAGAAGAGATTCCTAGTCTGATACAAACCTCGGATAACATGCGGATGCTGAGCTGAGGACTATCACGATCGTGACAGTCAAGTGGCGCCATTGATGCCAACTGTGCGGAGATTTATATGAAAATATCTTCTAGCGCGGTGAGGATGACACTGTCGCGAAGCGAAGATGCTTCCGTATGATAGATACAGAAAGAAGTTGAATTTCACTTGCAATGGACTCACATCATCATCGGCGCCGTAATGGGCATTCCCGTCCAACACTCGGCAGCATAATTGGAAGACCTCCATTGTCCATCCCAGGTTTGACGGTATCACAGTCGAAGCTTCAATTGCACTTTGACGATGATTGTCAACCACCGGTGCCGTCCACAGATCCAAAATCTGATGGACGACTTCTTGGCCGGAGCTAGATCAGCAGAAAGGACCTTCGCAAGACGAGTCATGTCATTCCTGGATGCGAGGTGGCACAGCAGTAGTGAGTCTCTCCCCCTCAGTCCGCTCCGATCGATCGAGTCCAGCCAAGTGACTGGGCATCCACAGCTGGATCGATCACCAGACAAGCATCGGACACAGAAACTCCGATCAAGTGGAGAGACGGAGGGGAAACGTATCAGAGGCGATTCCTGAGCGAGGATGTCTCAACTTGACTTGCTAAAGACATATCGTAGGGTTGAAACCCATCGTTCGTCACTTTCCACAAGAGCTCGCCTTCTTCATGGGGTGCTTTGGCTCGTAGCCTTCGGCCTATGAGCTCGTCCCAATCAAGTTCAACAACCTTTCGAACGTCTGAAGAACGAGCGGCTCAGTTCGCGATTGTTCATCCTCCTCATGCAGTCACGAATCGCACTGAGGAAGGAGTACACGGTGTGAGCAGGTCGGTCGTATGATTCAGCTTTCGAGACACTCTTCTGCGCCCGGAAGATGCGATGAGATCACTTGGCTTGAGCGATGACTGCTCGGGTCGGAGCTTCGGCATGAAGAGACTAAAGGCCTCAACCACTATAGGGGTTTTATCAGTTGCTCTAATATCTAATCGTTCGATGAGAAAAACATCAGCACTGTTGATAACGGTACAGTCCGGGAGTACTCAAGAGCTCCGTGGAACGCCCCGTAGGGCAAGCAACTCTACAGCCAAAAGGGGCCTGCAGTTGATGCGGTGCTGGTAGGGTGCGTTATGACAGCAAAACACGAATCATGACCGAGCACGAACAAAGATTGCAAATAATTCATTGGAAAGCTCAGCTCGACGATGAGATGTTGATGAAAATGTCGCTGTACTTTCCGGATCGGTGGTGCTCGACGTCATAAGTTCCGCAGTTCTACTAGGCGTTCCGCAACGATGAACCTATCAGTCCTCTCAGGAGCTCATCATCAGCCTCTCCGATGTTCCTTGTCTTCCAGGAGAATTTCTCCTGCTGCTTTCAGAGGCGCCTCGTATGTCCAGCCTACATTCTCAAGGCATACTCTGAAGGAGACTACTCTTCACCACAATCGTTGTGGAGGGTATAATAAAAATCTCGCATGAAACAAAGATTCTATGCCAGTAGTCATCATGGCTTTCTCCTGGGAGCCAAAAACAACATTGACGACTCATCAATGATGAGTGAGGTCAACAGCGAAGCAGTGCGCCGCGCACTGTGCGTGTTAGACTAAGAGATTTCGAACTTGAGGGGCCAGCAGGGCCGATCACCCTCATTGGTAGCAGGATCTACAACTATACCTGAAAAGAGGCGACTTGCGAATCCACTTCACTCTATAGAGACAAGGGACCGCAATGCGATACCACTAAGTACCTGTACTAGCGATACTCTATCACGACCGATGAACGATGGCTGGGCGACGCTGGGAGCTTCAGCAAAAACCACAAACCGAACTCGTCTTCACCGGCGATGGACTATCGCAGCAAGATATCATATCCTGGATATATGAAAACCCCCAGAACTGTCCACGATCGTGAAGTGTGGATCGCAACGAATGGACCAGGGACGATAGACAAACAGCAGGCTCCACGAGCCAGATGAACGACATTGGATGAGACCATTTGCACAGCGGCAGATCGAGCCCAAGCCCCATAGAAAGCTTTCATCGGGTTGTGATGGCCCAAAAGTATCCCTCTTTGGCTCTTCGAATGCCAATCTGAAGAGTGTCAACTTGTCCACTCAGTTCACTCCCTAGAAAGCTCTCTTATCAAGAAAAGGCGAGGGCCTGCAATTCGAACACCAATATGCGGTTAGAGAACGCCAACTTGAGAGCATGCACTATGCGGA